CATTATATAAAAAACAAAACACTAATTACAGTTGCGTTACCAATGGAAAGTCCCCTCAGAGTTTGCTTCGAATGGGCGGCATTTCCAGGGACCAGACGCGGTGCACATCGGAACTGGCCACCAGGTTACTGAGCACATTTACGTCTGCAAGGAATTGGAATCAGCTAAGGTAATTCGTTAACACGCTCTACTTACCGTTTGTGCGTGCAAACTGCTGCAACGTGTTGCGGATATCACAAATTGGAACGGCTGTGTTGATATTTGGGTAGACTATGTCGTCCAACTTGATGTTGGATACACATACACCCAGGATGCAGCCGTTCTGGTCGAACATGGGGCCTCCACTTTGACCAGCCTGCACACAGCCGTCGGACATGATGGCCCCAGTGTCGCACTTGATGATCCTCCCTTGGAAAATCGAGGGATTGAAGTCGTGCTTAAAGCTGAAGTTCACGTAGTAGGGGAACCCGGCGTTGTACACCATCTGGCCAAGAGTGGCCGGAGTCCTGGCCAGTCGCACGCAACAGCGCTCGGGTACGTCCTGCGGAGCTGTGAGGAGAGCTAAGTCGAAGGGTCGCTCGCTGTCCGGATTGGACCATATCACCTCCGACTGGAACTCGCGATCGGCAGCGCGGCAATTGACCCTCTCGTTGCTCTGAGTGGAAGTGGGCAATTAGATGGACCAAGGTTGAGATATAGCCATAATTACCTGCCCCACCACATGCGCACAGGTGAGAATGAAGCGCTTGTTGTGAACTCGTATAAAAGTACCAGTGCCTTGTTGACCCGCCGACTCAATGACCACAATTGTGCGCTCCCCTGGGAAGTGAATGTGTGATTAGCCATAACTTATTACCAGGCATGATTAGTAGTTTTTTACAAGCAAAGTTCGAGGGCTCTCGAGTCAACTGGAATGTCGTGGTGGACATGCCCAGCTGCTCCATAAAGTTACGCAGGAGGTAGCCAAAGTTCGCGGCCAGGGTGAGGTTGACATTCTCCTGCTGCCTTTGGAACGAGGTGCATATCACAATGCCGATGAGTCGTCTGAAAAGGATAGTCTTCCATGAATCTCTTGCTTAGTTACATGCGAAATATTCACCTACAGTTTGTTGTTAAACACGGCGGAACCCTCGCAGCCCAGTGGCAGTGCGTTTGAGATGGCGAACAGACAGGCACTGCGTCCCATCACATTGGACACCTTGCCAATGCTGATCGTCTTGTAGAAGTTCTCCAGGCCAAAGGGCGAGCACATGACCAACACGTCATCCAGCGTTTGCATGGGCTGCAGGTGCCGCAGGTAGTTGCCGATGTGCGCCAGGAAGCGCTTGAAGGACTCCTCTTTGTCGGGCTTTCGCAGGCCCAGCACCACGAAGCTGGAGCGGAGCACCTCGCCCTCGTCGCCAGAGTCAGCGTTGAGCAGAATGTGATGTAGGTTGCGGGACACCTCGGCGGCGCAGAACACGTACAGTGGATGGGCCGTGAAGCGGGAGAGGATGTGGGCTTGCCTTGATCCGGAGGCGGCGTTCTGATTTGGCCTTCGTTGCTGAGGATCAAAGGTGGCCAGGAAGTTGAGCGACCGGATTCGCTGACCCAGCTCCTCGTCATCCTGAACATTTAGCAGTTGACCCCGTTGCAGTCTGTCGATGATTCCTTTGTTCTCCGCGCCTTTGTCCCCGTCCAAAACCAAGTGGGGCTGCAGAATGCTCCCCGAGCTGAGGATCACTTCGTTGTTGATTATGATCGCAGACTGCTTCGTGGCCGGCGGACTGGTGACCTCGAGCAGGGCGTGGCGAATCTTCAGCAGCATTATCTCTGTGCTTGATTAGGATTAGGCGAGCGTCATGCTAAACTGCGTTTGCTCCAAATATTGCCTTTGTTTACGCTCTGGCTTTGCCATTCGCCTTGGTCATCAGCTGTTTGGGAACCCAAACATTGCGGATCTATACCATTCGCAGCGAGTCAATCAGCTGATGCGCCTTTTTGGGGGATTTAAATTCTTGAGGAGATTTGCATAATGCTGCCCTTACGCTGGAGTTTGCTGAAGCCCCTGCGAGATGGCTTACGACACAGCCGCCGCCACCTGGCGCAGAAGAACCTCCTGGAGCTCACGGACCGGGGCTTCTTCCAGGGCATTTTCCCTGACACAGCGGCGTAAGTTACGGGCCACCTCGAGCTCCACCAGATCCCCAATTTATCTATGAAAACTTATGGTTCCCAGGCCCAAGATGAAACAGCTCTTCACCAGCGGACAGCAGAGCATTTACGCGGGATTCGATCCCACCGCCGACAGCCTGCACGTGGGTAATCTCCTAGTGATAATGGGTCTGATCCACTGCCAAAGAGCCGGCCACAGACCCATTGCTCTCGTGGGAGGAGCCACTGGGCTGATCGGCGATCCCAGTGGACGCAAGACAGAGCGTAACCAGCTGGGCGAGTCTGTGATTGATACTAATCTTAAGGCCATTGAGGCGCAGCTGATAAGGGTGTTTGAAAACCACGAGAACTGCCTCTGGGATACGAGCAAGCACAAATCCCCACTAGCTCCGCTTACGTGAGTACATATGTATGTAAACCACGTCAGACTTCCCTAATCTTATAAAAATCCCCATCAGAATTGTCAACAATGCCGATTGGTACGCCGACCTGCACCTCATCGACTTTGTGGCTAACATGGGCCGCCACTTCCGCATGGGCTCTATGCTCTCCAGATCCTCGGTGCAGTCCCGCCTGGAGTCAGAGGACGGGATGAGCTTCACTGAGTTCACCTACCAGATCTTCCAGGCCTACGACTGGCTGCACCTGTTGCGCCGCCACAACTGCTGCTTTCAAATGGGCGGCTCCGATCAGACGGGCAATCTGATGACAGGCCACGAGCTCATCAGTCGGGTGGAACGCAAGCGAGAGGTGTTCGGCCTAACCCTGCCACTGGTGACCACGGAGGAGGGCGACAAGTTCGGCAAGTCGGCCGGCAATGCCGTTTGGCTGGACGGCAACAAGACCTCGCCCTTCGCACTCTACCAGTTCTTCCTGCGCATGCCAGACTCTGAGGTGGAGAAGCTGCTGAAGCTGTTCACTTTTATCCCGCTGCCACAGGTGGACCAGCTGATGCAGGAGCACGCGAAGGAACCGGAGAAGCGAAAGGCCCAGACTCTGCTGGCCGAGGACGTAACGCTTCTGGTTCATGGAGGTGAGACCTCCATAGGGAAACATTCCTTCTGTACTTAACACATTTTAATTCCACAGAAAGTGGGCTAAAGCAGGCGGAACGCGTGACGAATGCCTTGTATAAGGGCAATGTGGAGGGATTGGCGGAACTGAACCTGGCCGAGATCCAGCAGACCTTCCAGGGGGCCACCATGGTGGACCTGCTGACCGAGCCCGGTATGTCCATCCTCGAGTTGGCCATGAAGGCCAAGTGTTTTCCCACCGAGAGTAAGTTAACCATTTAAGCTTGGCCAATGTAAGGTTCTAACGCATTATGAACACTCCTCAGCCGATGCTGTGCGCATTATAAATGCAGGAGGATTCTACGTGAACCAGAAGCGGGTGCAGAACATTGCCGAGGTGCTCACCACTGGCGTGCACGTCCTGCGGAACGGAGTCTCCCTGCTGCGCGTTGGGAAACGCAACTTCTACATCGTGCGCTGGCAATAGTCGAAAGATAAACCTTGTTGTCCGGTAATTGTACTTTGTAATTTTCGTTAAATAATCATAGGTTTGCTTACACTGTAAGATCTTAAGCTATTTACGTGGGTCTGGGCGCAGGCTTCTTACGCCACCTCTTCCGCGCCAGCATCTCCTTGGCCTTCTCCTTTTTCAGGTCCTTGTCGTAGAACTTGCCGCTCTTGGTAAAGGTCTTCTGCTCGTTGCGCATCTCGGCCAGCTTCCGGTTCTTCTGCTTGATAATGTTCTTCTTGTTGGCCGACTTCTTCTTGCCAGCCTCGGAGATCTGAACCTTGATGTTGCGGCCCTGCAGCTCTGTGTTGTGCAGCTGGAAGGCCCTCTGGAAACTGGGCAGATCGGCCATCTCCACAAAGGCGAAACCACCGCGTCGCTTTTTGGGAATGCGGATGGACTTCACAGTGCCCACCGCGGAGAAGTGCAGCTCCAGATCGTCCTTTTGGGTCTCGAAGTTCAGGTTCGTCACGTACAGAACGTGTCTGTTGGTTTTGGAGGCTCCGCGCAGCAGGGAAGTCAGCTGGTCACTGGTTATTTCGCCATTCTCCGCAATTTCCACTTCCTCGGATCCGGAGCCATCGCTGCCCTCTGCCTCGCCATCGGACTTGGCCTCGTCCTCGCTGTGGCTATCCTCTGGGTCACTGGGATTCCGTCCGTCCTCCTTGTCTACATAGGTGCCCTCGAAGATCTCCTTGCGCTTCTGGTCATCGAAGTTGCCCAGCAGGTCGGCGCTGTCGTCGTTGACCGTCCGCCGCACCCGCTTGGGTTTGAAAAAGGACTCCACCTCGTAGTCGCTGCCAGAATCGCTGGCCATCGTGTGTTGATTCTGGACGGGATTGCACCAGCACGTGGGATTCCCTGTGAATGGTAGTTAGTGCTGACTGCGTTTGAGGCATTTTCCAACACTGGCTGATTACCCGCCGTGAAGTTCAAATTCCGGGGTCATCTTGCAATATTTTTGGAGCCTCATCAAAACCGGTTGCATCTGCGGGAGCCAAGTTAGACATTCAATAGAGTTATATGGAAATTATGCTAATCGGCGGTAATAACGAGTAAATAGTTATGCGGGTGACCGGTTCGCTCTTATCAGGAAAAAATTGATCGTGCGCCACTGACAATTGATAAACGGCCTGCAAAACGGGAATATGCCGCGCAGATTACCAGATAGATTAAGATATAGATATGATCAACGAATATGATACTTCGAGAGGAGGGATAATTAATGCCTGCAGAATGACTGCATCAATGTCTTTTGTTTAATTAAGATAAACGGCCGCTTGGAGCCAGTTAGGAAGGAAATTTATGCGTTTGGTCATTCCGGCCGGTAAAATGCCAAGAGATAGCTATAAAAGCGCAGTTTTTGGCAACAGGTAGTCAGATTTGTTTCGCAATCGATCAGCACACACATCCCCTTTCTAACCATGAAGTTCGTGGTAAGTGGGGATAGCTCAAAATCATTTCTTGGGATTTCTATTAAGTGTAATCCATTCCGCAGATTGTTCTTGCCTGCCTTTTGGCCGTGGCTTTCGCCAACGAGGAGGCTGATGTCCTGAAGAGCGACTCCGAGGTAAATGTGCTGGACTTCAACTACGCCTACGAGCTGTCCAACCACATCCGCGCCGTCCAAAATGGCGCCCTGAAGGAGCACGACACCTGGGTAGTTTCCGGAGAATACGAGTACGTGGCCCCCAACGGCAAGACCGTCAAGGTCGTGTACACCGCCGATGAGACCGGCTACCACCCAAAAATCGTCGAGGCCTAATTTTGAGAACATCTTTTCTTAATCCGAAATAAAAATTAAATTCCATTGCAACAACGTACTATTTGAATTTCAGTTATTTTTGGTTCCCTGTGAATGGTTACTCTTCTTCTTTCTGCCGCCAAACACTAGTGTTGGAAAATTATTCGCAAATTGTAATTTTCGCTCGCTTGGTTTCTAGATTAATTTATGTTTTTAAATAATTAAATTGAAATAAAAGCATGTCCGCGGAGTCTTCAGCCATGGACTGTGCCGAGAGCAGTGTAAACCAAGTGGAGGTTGTGCCAGAGGCACTTGTGGAGGAAGAAAAACAAGCCGGGTCGCCGGCGGTAGGAGCAAAAAGTGCAGATTCTACTGTGCCGGCGGAAATTGAAGGAAAAGTTGCAGAGGATGTGGAAATGCAGGACCTGACCCTCGAGGATCTAGCTCCCAGTGGCCCAACGGAGGCAGCCGCATCAGTCACTGAAAAGCCAAAAGAGGAGGCCAAGGAAGTGGAGGAAATTAAGGAGGGGGGCAAGGATGCCAAGGAGGCTACGGAAAGTATCAGTATCGATATTGCCAGCAGTCCAGTGCCGGAGGATGAACCACAAGATGCAGAAAAAGATACCGATAAGCCTCCTCTGGAAGTGGATTCGGACAGCAGTGTGGAGCTCATCGAGAGTCCTGTTAAGTCCCCCTCCTCCAACGAAAGTGCGGGAGATCAGCCCAAATCAGATGATGTGGATGCAGGTACAGAACCCAAGGCCAAGGAGGCTGAGGACCTGGCTGACAGCAGCATCGAACTGATCAGCAGTCCCACATCAGAGAGTTCTCCCGAAAAAGATGGAGAAACCAAGGAGCAGGGGGATCAGAAGGAGAATCAAGAGGAGCAGGAGCCCAAGGAGAAAACAGAAGCTCCTATCATGGAAGTAGACCAGGAGGTTCCTATTAAACCCACCACATATCAATCTGGCGATACAGCTGGAGAGGATGAGTCCAAAAAATCCACTCCCATGGAAATCGAACCGCAATCCAGTGCACTCAAAAAAGATGACATTCTAGAGGTGGAGCTAGAGAAGGCCACTGCTCCAAAAGCCCCAGAGGAAGAGCTGCTAAATGAGCTTCCTTCGGATGGAGACATCTTCTACGGCAAGGACTGTGTCAACTGCAACTGCCAGAAGCTTCACAAGCAGTTCGTGCTGACCAGCATGGGAACACTGAATTTCTACAAGGTGCAGCGAAAGAGATCCAAGCAGCAGTTCCTCTGCATGGGATGCCACGACACCGCCATGGACTTGTATGAGGTCAAGTAGGCCGCTAAAATTCTGAAGTTTATTTAATAACCTGGTCTTCTTTGATCTTAGGAGTATGCAGGCCATTTGGTGGAAAAACAGCCGTTGCTGCTGAAGGATTTTCAACAGGATCACGCCGACTTTGTGGCTCTGGACAGCAGCGACGATGAGGAGGATGAGAAACAGCCAGGTGAGACGGCTAAATCAAATGTCCTACAATCCACTAACGCTTAATATTGCCGACAGATCAATCGGAATTGTCTAAAAACCAGCTGCGGTTGATTGAGGATGAGCTGGAGGATGCCATCAATAGTGTGCTGAACAGAGTGGAGTTTCAAAACCAGATTTCCTGGTCCAAGACTATTCTCCAGGCCAAGGCGGACCACTTGGAGCAACAGATGGCACTGGCAGATGCGGAACTCGAAAAGGTCCAGAGCACCGCGGACAAGATGCACTGCGCCCTGTACAATTCCTGCCCGGTGGTTCACAAAAATCTGCCCGCTCTCGAGATCGAGACTAGTGTGAGTGACTTTGTGGTAAGTCTTGTGGATGATTTAGATTTTCCCCTTTTAATGCCACTATTTACTCCAGCAACAAGTGCCGCCAGCTGGCGAAATAGTACGTCCGCCAATCCAATTGGGCGAGACCTACTACGCTGTGAAGAACAAAGCCATCGCCAGCTGGGTGTCCATCAAGGTGATCGAGTTTTCCGAGAGCACCTCCATCAACGGCAACACCATGAAGAGCTACAAGATCAGGTACCTTAACACGCCGTACCAGATGATGAAGACGGTGACGGCAAAGCACATTGCCTACTTTGAGCCACCGCCAGTGCGGCTGACCATTGGTTAGTGACCGGTGAACTTGTTTTTTTCAGCCATCAACTCATCCTTCCTTTGTTCTAGGTACTCGTGTAATCGCTTTCTTCGACGGCACCACTTTATCGCGGGGCAAGGAGAAAGGCGTGGTGCAGAGCGCCTTCTATCCAGGCATCATCGCCGAACCGCTGAAGCAGGCAAACCGCTTCCGCTACCTCATATTCTACGATGATGGCTACACACAGTATGTGCCACATCGGGATGTTCGCCTCGTTTGCCAGGCATCCGAGAAGGTGTGGGAGGACGTACACGCCGGTTCACGGGATTTCATCCAGAAGTATGTGGAGAAATACTCCGTGGATCGGCCTATGGTGCAGTGCACACGCGGTCAGAGCATGAACACCGAGTCGAACGGCACCTGGCTGTACGCCCGAGTCATCGACATCGACTGCAGCTTGGTTCTGATGCAGTTCGAGGGCGACAAGAACCACACGGAGTGGATCTACAGGGGTTCCTTGCGCTTGGGCCCCGTCTTCAAGGAAACCCAGAACACCATGAACAGTTCCAGCTCACAGCAGATGCGTGTTCCTAGGGTGAGAGTCGGGGAAAGTCATTCGCTGGGCACCACTATAATCTATTGCCTTTCCAGCGCACGGAGCCCTTCATCCGCTACACCAAGGAGATGGAGTCCAGCAGCCAGGTGAACCAGGAGATGCGGGCCATTGCCCGTAAGAGCAGCTCCTCCGGGCAGAATGTGGCATCCGCAACACCCGCATCCTCCCCAGCCACCTCCACGGGAGGACGCAGTACGGCCAGTACTAGCGCCAGTTCCAGTGCCAGTGCCGTGAAGCACCTCAACAACTCTACCATATACGTGGACGATGAGAACAGACCCAAGGGCCATGTGGTGTACTTCACCGCCAAGCGGAATCTGCCTCCCAAAATGTACAAGAGCCACGAGTGCAACCCCAACTGCCTGTTTAAGATCGTGCACCGCCTCGATAGCTACAGTCCTCTGGCTAAGCCCCTGCTCTCCGGTTGGGAGCGACTTGTAATGCGCCAGAAGACGAAGAAGTGCGTGGTGTACAGGGGACCGTGTGGCAAGAGTTTGCGCAACCTGGCCGAGGTTCACATGTATCTGCGTTCCACCGAGAACGTGCTAAACGTGGACAATTTTGACTTTACGCCCGATTTAAAGTGTCTGGCAGAGTATTCTATCGACCCCTCCATCGTGAAAGACCAGGACATATCAAAGGGGCAGGAAAAGATGGCCATTCCGCTGGTAAACTACTACGACAACACACTGCCGCCACCCTGCACCTACGCCAAGCAGCGCATCCCCACGGAGGGGGTGCACTTGAATCTGGACGAAGAGTTCCTGCTGTGCTGCGACTGCGAGGATGACTGCTCGGTAAGATGGTATATCTTTTTTGCGCTAGTCCACATTGTAATCTTTCTGGTTCCCCCCTCAGGACAAATCCAGATGCGCCTGCTGGCAGCTCACCGTGGCGGGCGTGAGGTACTGCAACCCAAAGAAGCCCATCGAGGAGATCGGCTACCAGTACAAGCGGCTCCACGAGCACGTGCCCACTGGCATCTACGAGTGCAACTCGCGCTGCAAGTGCAAGAAGAACTGTCTTAACAGGGTGGTCCAGTTCTCGCTGGAGATGAAGCTGCAGGTGTTCAAGACCTCCAATCGGGGATGGGGCCTGCGCTGCGTGAACGACATCCCCAAGGGCGCCTTCATCTGCATCTACGCCGGCCATCTGCTCACAGAGACGATGGCCAACGAGGGCGGCCAGGACGCCGGTGACGAATACTTTGCAGATTTGGATTACATCGAGGTGGCGGAACAACTCAAGGAGGGATACGAGTCGGAGGTGGACCACTCTGAGCCAGACCCGGAGGACGACAATGGCGGGCCCGATGCCGAGGACGACGACGACTTTCGGCCAAACTACCACTACCAGCGCAAGATCAAGCGTACCTCCAGGAGCAACTCCACGCAGAGCAGCGAGTTGGACTCGCAGGAGCGGACGGTGATCAACTTCAACCCCAACGCCGATCTTGATGAGACGGTGCGTGAGAACTCGGTGCGGAGGCTTTTTGGAAAGGACGAGGCGCCGTATATCATGGATGCCAAGACGACCGGCAACCTGGGACGCTACTTCAATGTGAGTTGGATTAGGGATTGCCTTGCTTACGGTATTTCTAACTATCTGTTACTCTCTCCTCTTCTCCCAGCACTCTTGCAACCCTAATCTCTTCGTGCAGAACGTGTTTGTGGACACCCATGACCTGCGATTCCCCTGGGTGGCATTCTTCTCGGCCTCGCACATCCGCTCCGGCACCGAGCTGACATGGAACTACAACTACGAGGTGGGCGTGGTGCCCGGAAAGGTGCTGTATTGCCAGTGCGGCGCCCCCAACTGTCGCATTCGTTTGCTCTAAGTCCAAAACTAAGTTTAATCTCAAAGTGAAAGTTCCCCATTAAAAACCATTTGAAATCCAAGTTTGTATAGTAACGGTTATTGGGTCACCCTGTTTGGAAAGTTCTAGTAGATTTCAGTATTTTACTTTTATTTTGACTGCTTTTTAGTTAAATCTTTTAAATTACGAAGCACTCTTGTTATTAAATTATATATAAACTCTAAAAGCTGGTCTTGAATAAAAACATATAAAAGCGTTCGCAAATTTAAAGCTACACATTTAAAAATGAGGAATCGTAAATCTGCAAATTAACGGTATATTTGGTATTTTATAGAAATTGAAATGGTAAGCAGTGGTATTAATTTTCCTAGGAACGGTATTTTTAATCGTTATCCGCGCGGTCACACTACCAATTTTAGCAAAAAAAAATTAGGCGTTTTAAAATTCGAGAGCATCTAAATTCGGGGCCACAATGCGCCAAGCTTACATTTAAGAGGCTGCAAGCTAGCGTCGTCTCGTCGCAGGTGCACCGGTGCACTCGAGGCAGCGCGGGATTCCGCCAACCGCTGACTAAGGCACATCCGCCCGCGGAGTGAAAAATCGATTTGGTGATAACAGGGGCTTACGCTTACGCGTTTTCGCACTGCTAGTCGTAGTCGAGTGGCCAGTGGACACCACACCAGAGCGCATCATGAATGTGGACTTTGCGAAGGTGTGCAGCAAGCACATAGGCGTCTACGAGGCCTACTACAAACAGGTATGCGCCACGCCCCCAGCCCCCGCCCAGAGGGGCGGCTTTCGCTGGGTATCCACCCACCCACGACCCATACCCACCCCCTATTGATTTTTGCAGATTGACCCCAAAGCCACCGGGGCAATCGAGGCCATGACGGCAGCCAAGTTTCTGAAGAAGTCGGGCCTCAGCGACGTGGTGCTGAGCAGGATCTGGGACCTGTCCGACCCGAACGGCAAGGGCTACCTGGACAAGCCGGGCTTCTTTGTGGCCCTCAAGTTGGTGTCGCTGTCGCAGGCGGGACAGGTGGCCAACATGAACAACATCTACCTGGAAACTGCCAACCCGCCGAAGGTGGTGAGTAATCCAAGTCGTCCCCCCGAAATGGGCAAGACAAGCTGTGATACATCATCGATCAATCATCGCCAGGGTGAACTACCAAAAACGATGCCGTCGCGCATCCAGACGGTGCCGGTGTCCAGTGGCGGAGTGACCAACGGGGACTGGTCCATCGGGGTGATCGACCGCCTCAAGTATGAGCAGCTCTTCGAGTCGCTGAATCCCCACAACGGCATGCTGCCGGGCAACAAGGTCAAGGGCGTGCTGATGGACTCCAAGCTGCCCATGAACATACTAGGCACCATCTGGGACTTGGCCGACCAGGACAAGGACGGCAACCTGGACAAACACGAGTTCTTGGTGGCCATGCACCTGGTCTACCAGACGCTGCAGAAGCGCACCATTCCCAGCGTCTTGCCACCCGAGCTGCGGAAGCCTGGAGGCGCAGGACCGCCTCCCAAGCCCGCCATGCCCCCACCTCCGTCGGCTGCTGCCATGCCTCGTGCTCCCAGCGGCGAGGGATTCGGCGATGGCGGCTTCGTGGCCAACTTCCCCAAGGACATCGCCCCTCCGGCGGCCATTCCTCCGCTTCCGGTGGCCGTGCCGCCCATGACGCGCATTCCCCCGGTTGGCGCAGTTAGCTCCCAGCCGTTAATCCAGACGGATCCGCTGATACCAATCGGTGCTCCGCCCTCCGTGACGGCTAACGCCGACTGGGTGGTCACCCCGGCAGAGCTGAAGCGCTTCGAGGAGATCTTCCGCCAGTCGGATCTGGATAAGGACGGCCTTGTCTCCGGCCTCGAGGTGAAAGACATCTTCATTAAGTCGGGTATACCGCAGCGCACTCTAGCGGACATCTGGTAAGGATTTCCTCCTTTCAGGTTGGAGTATACCAACTAACTCATCCTTCCTTTGCAGGGCCCTCTGTGACACCAATCAGTCTGGCAAGCTGACTGTAGACCAATTCGCTCTTGCTATGTGGTTCGTGGAGCGAAAGCAGCGCGGCGTGGATCCGCCCCATGTGCTCAACGCCAATATGGTGCCGCCCTCGATGCGTGCCACAGTGTCTGGAGTGGATTTGCAGCCGCAGGAGGTGAAGCCTACTTACTCGAATCCGGAGCTGGAGATGATCTCCAAGGAGATTGAGGAGTTGGCCCGCGAGCGGCGGGTCCTGGAGACGGAGATTGCCCAGAAGGAGGCGGATGTGCGCGTGAAGAACGGCGAAGTGCGCAGTCTGCAGGTAAGTTTACTGGAAAGCATATGCTAAGAGCAAACTAATAATAAAAATCCTTCCCTCACAGAGTGAATTGGACACTCTTACCGCCACGCTGAAGCAGCTGGAGAACCAGCGAGGAGAGGCCCAGAAACGACTGGATGACCTGCAGGCTCAAGTAGTTATTTGCATGATTCTCCGGGTGCTTTCGGCCACAGCGCCACTGCTTACCTTTTGCTTGCTCCTGGGCTTACGTTTTACTTTTAATTTAAATACCAACTTTGGTTTCCTTTCTTTATCATGTTCCCCCGACACTCTGTTAACAATTGGCTAAACCCATACTAAACCGGTGAATGCACTTACACTTACAATTATGATCACATAAGGTTAGCCACAATACGGCCGTGCTGGCCAACGTAAGTCTTGACATATCGCGCACCAACGATCAGGTTTGTTTCTCATGATTTCTGTATATATTTGCTTTATGTTCCGTACTCGTTCATGTGTTTTGTGTTTTATGTTTTGGCCTAAGTGTTGTGCGAAATCGCCGGTTAAAATGGGCTCTTTATTGATCTCGATTCTATGGTTCCTTGCAGGTGACCAAGATTCGTGACCAGTGCCACATGCAGGAGGAGACCATCAACGAGCAGGAGGGTGAGTTGAACGCCAAGCGCTCGGAGCTGCAGAAGCTCAAGGACGAGGAGACGTCGCTGCAGAAGGAGTACGACGACAACAATCGCGAGCTATCGAAGCTTACCAACCACCTGCAGGCCACCCAGCTGCAAATCAGCTCGGTAAGATTGGCGATACTTTAAAAGAGCCAGAGATTAAAGCAACCATCCATTTAAAGGTCCGGTCGATGGTCACCCAACTGTTGGAGACGCAACGCCAGATGACCGACGCTCTTCTCATCTGCCGGGCTGCCATGGAGAACCAGAACGCCGAGCTGGTCTCCGAGTACCAGCTGAAGATCGAGCCGGACTTTGATGAGGCGCGCAAGACGTTGACCAAGGAGGTGCAGCTGCCAAAGGACGATCCCTTCGAGGAGAACAACAGCGGGGCCGCTAATCAGGCTACCAACGGCTTTGGCAGCGATCCTTTCTCTGGTCAGCAGGCCAGCAAGCCGGCCATCTCCACCGGCTTCGATGACAGCTTCAACATGAGCTCGGGCTTCGATAGTGGCTTCGATGCCTTTGGTCAGAGCGGAGCGAGTTCAGCATTTGGCCAGACCCAGCGCGATCCCTTCGGCTCGGATGCCTTTGCGGCCAACAAGAGCAGTGCTGTCACTCCAGATGTGAGATTATTATAGAAGACCTTGAAATTCGGAGATTATGTAATAATTTTATCTCACACAGCCCGGAAAGGATGACTTCGGCAGCGATCCGTTTGCCGCCCTGCACGCGCCAACTGGCAAAGGTCAGGTGCTCAGTCCCAACGCGCAGAAGTCGGGCCCGCCGCCCAGACCGGAGTCTCCTAGTCCAGCATTGCCGCCAAAGAAGTCCAAGGTGCCGCCCCCACGACCAGCGCCACCCCGAGCAGCCCAGGTAAGATGAGCTATAATCTCTGTCGATTGTAAAGATGTTAAATGTGTATCTTTCACAGCCCACGGGTGGTTTTGGAAGCGGCGGCGGCGGCGGAGGAGGATTCGCCGACTTTGAAGACTTCGACAATAAGGTTGGTACCCCACAATTCAGTGTCCGGTGGGATCGGTGGTAATGCATGCGCCCCGCACCCGTACCTAATCCTTGGTTATACGTTTATTATCACTAACCCTTCCTGAGTTTTGTAGAAATAAACCACCTTGAAGCACACTTCCAGACCGTAGTATTATGATTTTTGATTTGTATTTGAGTTGTAGCCTCTTTGGTTTGCCATTAGAAGTAGTTAAAGCCGGAGTAACCACCACCCCGATCACCTCACCACCCCGAAACCATACACATCCCGTAGCTTTTGCCTTGGTGCCGTTGCCGTTTGAAACTAACCGTCTGGTCTCTCATCTCTGCAATTCTCTATTTTCAGTGAACATCTTAAGATAACCCATTCTATATACGATATATACCAGTACTAACACACATACTCAGTTAATGAATGGCCTCCTCTAGCAGCATAACGAAACAAATCAATTTGAGCGTACAAAGCTATTTGCAGCAGCATATTAACGTACATATATCAGTCACGGTGCATGGTATATTATCTAGAGGACGCAGCATTATCGTTCATGCCTAATTAGCTAAATGTACTAAATCAATTCAATCGAAACTCAACCAAAACTCAAACCAATTTCAAGCGTTACGTATCGTGTTATAAATGTAGTCACAAAATCAAAGCAGGCAGCAAACGGAAGAGAGTTCTAATCGATCGATTCCCGATGTTGTGCCGATGTATTGTATTAACCTATTATTATTACTACTATGGGTTCCCCGATGTATTATCCCGGTTGGTTTTTGAGTTAAACGCGAGAGAACTCTGTAAGGAATTTAATGCAAGTTGTTTGTTGTTTCTGCATATGCGAATACTAAAGTTTAAAGCAATTATACAGCCGTACTATATTACCAGCATTTTACACACGAGCCACACATTCAGATATTGATGTAACTGCCGCGAAAGTTCGAATTTTATGGGGCGAGCGAATTGGACTGCCCACTACTATTTACCGAGAAGCGTTACCTTTTCCACTCAGCTTTTAGGGCCGTGTAGAGTTCCCCAGTCTAGCCAGCAGTTCGCGCTTGAGGGGGAGTCGGTCCCCACTCAACTATATCAAAGTACTTATATATATATAATTGCCAGACCTCGATTACTATAGCCACACACACTCGTACGAACACCCACACCGAAACTGACAAGCTTCCGTGCATTGATTTACCGAGAATTCATATTCCGTGCATAAATACATACTTATAGAGAGAACTTTTAGAGAAGCCCCCATCCTAACAGTTCCCAACAAAAATGTAACACACACAACGTTTTGCATTATTAATAAAGATATCTATGTTCGACATCATTCAACGTAAGCTCGATGAGGTTATTTTGATAGGGAGTTCTCTGGCTCTGGGTTCTGGTCATGATCCTACACAAATCCCACTTGCTTGATCGCTTTCGTTGGCCTTGTATGATTTCGGTTCCCCCTTTGTCGTTATCTTTTTGAACCCGCTTAATTTGATTTCGTTTTAATTTAATTCTGTTTCATTTCACGTCTATTCCCCCATCACCCAATGCACCCACACAGCTCCACAACATTCCAAGCACTCCCTCGACCACGCCCCTGTCCCTGCCCCCGCCCACGCTGCCGCCCCCGATTTCGGTCACCAGTGGATCGTCGTTGTTGGACAGCTTCTCGCTGTTCGACGATCCCGGCCAGATCCGCAGCCAGGCGGCCAGCACGCCCAACCCCACGCCCACCGTACACAACCTGCTCCCACCATCTACATCCACGCCAGCTGTCCCATCCCCGGTATTAGCATCTCTATCGGCATCACCAGCGGGATTGGTAGCGGGAGCGGGCGGAGTTCCTCCTAGTAGCACCACCACCATCACCACCGCCCCCAGCTCGAATAACCAGCATTTGTCGCGTTCCAATACACCGCTGCAGAATCAGAGCACGACGGGATTGGGATTGGGACTGGCGCCGAAAGCGGGAGCCAGTGTGTTCGAGGCCTTTGGAGAGAGTGTCAGCCAAAAGGCACCGACGCCCGGACTCATCACTGGACCCACCGACTTCAAGGACGATCCGTTTAAGGACTACCGCTACGAGGATCCCTTCAGCATCAAGGATCCCTTTGCCGACGACGAAGAGGAGGAGCCATCTGCAGTTAAGGGAGCTGAGCAGAAGAAGAACTTTGCCGAGGACTTCAGTTCGGATGGTGAGTTCAATGTCTGGTTACTCTGGATATCTATCTAATCCATCCATTTTCAAATACGCAGATGAGATGGGAATCGCAGCCAAAACTTTAAGCAACATTGTGAACAACAATAGCAGTAAGCCCAAGGTGGCCACGCCCCTGAACAATGACTTCCTGCAGCAGTTCGACGCCTTCAACCTGAACTCGAGTCCGGCGCCCTCGCACCACTCGAGCACTTCGCATCACTCCACCTCCAAGCCGAACCATCAGAAGTCTCAGATGGCGCTGGACACATTCGCTGACTTCGACGACTTTGCCGCCACTGGGGGATTGGGATCTGGATCTGGATCTGTACTGGGAACGACGACCACAGCCACTAGCAATACAAAACTCAACGATTCCTTCTTCGATGCATTTAACGACAACTTCAGTGTGAGCCAAAACGCAGTGGTGGCCACTGGCCTGGTCGATCAAAAGAAGGCCTTCGACGCCTTTAACGACAACTTCGAGGATCACTTCAAGACGGGCAACGACAACTTTGCCAAATTCGAGGCCTTCGAGGCACACAACTTCTCGAGTGACTTTGGGAACACATCCTTCGAGGCGACGACGGCCAAAGGCAAGGCTAAGGAGCAGCAGAACGGGCAGGTGGCCAAGAAGAAGGATCACGGCAAGGAGCCGGTCAAGGACAAGTTCGCGGCGGACTACTCAAAGCCGGAGAGCTTCGATGCGGATCTGGAGGAGGCGCTGAAGCGCAGCGTGCTGGACAACTAGGTGCTTTGATTGAGCCACGAGATATATGTATCTCCAATGACACATGCAATGTACTCTCTATTCGCACTCGATCCGATCTATAGTGTTAGTGCCTCATTTCGATCAAGACGCCGTGGGATCATATATGTAGCTCCCCATGGTATTTACTCCGTACTCCTCGTGCTCAAGGATCCCGGCGAATAGAGAATTCCAACGGAGCCGCATCTGGTATTACAAGCTACATGCTATACACAATTATAAATACAATTCCGCGTAATCACATACTCGTAGAGCCTAATTATGTTGCGATTTAACCTGTACCAAAACCCTATGAATAAACGTACGAAAGAACATCATCGTTGTGGAGAGCGAGAGAGAGTGGAGAGTGGAGAGCTGAGAGAGTGGAGCCCCCATACCCATACCATGGCATCGGGGTTCTCAGCTGAGACGCCGGCAGAGGCAGCGCCAGTGAAGCCTCTATATAGTTTCTCGTTCGCGATTCAGATCGCGTTTGGACTTCGACGCAGACGTTCGTGCGGCAGTTCTCCATTTATCCACTTATATAGCTACTATATAGTTTTTGTTGTTGCCTTGCCAGTGGTCATAGAAGTGTGAGTTGTTGCTAGTGGAGCTGTGTGCGTGTGTGTGTGCGAACTAATCTCAATGCGATGCGCAAAATCAGCCCCCCGTAAAAACAAACCCACACACAGGCGCACAAATTGCTGCATGGCCAGTATAAAAACAATTTGCCGGCGATTGCAAATACACACGCAAATCGAGAGGGGGCGCGTTGTGAGCCAGTGTGTGTGCCGCTAATTACATTTATTTTGTAAACTTAATTTCCAAGTCGCCATAGCCGTAGGCGGGGGGCTGAAGTGGGGGAGGGCCGCAGGCAGGGGCGTCGATAGCCCCCAGTAAATTTCCTTCGCTGTGTGGTTGCCGTGTTAAGTGCTCTGATAAGTCGCCCGCTATCGCGCTATAGATCCGGGGGTTATCTGATATTGCTGTGGGTGCGACACGGATTCGGTGTGGGTACGGGGGTATTGGAGCGGCGGCGCAGTGGTGTGAGTGCGGTTGGCAGTGCTCTGGGATCAGATCGCGCGTTGACACACTGCCCGCCCCGCGAGGGTTTCTCCAGGAATCATTAGATAGAGTGAGCCTTGGTATACCCCTAAAAAACAGCTCTCTCATAAAATATTCTGAGCTGGGGTTCAGTTTCCGGGTTCCCAACTCCAGAATAATTCTCAAGATACAAGTACGGACTGTGTCATCTCAACTCATTTCGAATTTGAAGTCATTAGGTACAGTGTATATTGATATACCAAAAAAAAAAGAATTCATTTTGAATTTCGAGTCATTAGATAGAGTGTCCCTTGGTATACCCAATAAATATGTGCCGGCGTTAAAATTCCAAGGGTTTTCGGTACCCAAGTCCAGAATAATTCTCAAGATACAAATACGGACTAAATCATCTAATCTCCTTTCGAATTTTGAGTCATTAGACCCAGTGTATCTTGGTAAACCCCAAAAGACCGCCGGGGTTTAAGTTCCAGGGGTTTTTGGTACCCAAGTCGAGAATAATTCTCAAGATGCCAATATGGACTACATCATTTAATATCATTCCGAAACAAACTGTAGAATCCTATAGGACAATAGTTTTTTTCTAAATATCAAATATGTATGTATCTTTTAATCCGAAACTTGTCTAAAATATATTTTATTTAAGATCCTCTAATTGTGGAAATAACGACCCGGACTTAATAAAGATACTTTTTAAAAAATAGTTGAAAACCATCCAGCCTCAAGACCGTGACTTAAACCATATATATCCAAACTAATAACGATTTTTACATCCCCCAGATCCAGTCATCCCACCATGTCGAAGCCAGCTCTGTATTACGCCACCCTGAGCCCCCCATCCCGCGCCGTTCTGCTCACGGCCAAGGCGATCGGGCTCGACCTTGAACTACGGTGGGTTCCCACACCATCCGCACACCGTGCCACTTAACTCAATTAACAAGTGTCTCCGTTTGAACAGGCCAATTAACCTGCTGAAGGGTGAGCATCTGACGCCGGAATTCCTCAAGCTGAACCCCCAGCACACGATCCCCACGCTGATCGACGGCGAGGCCACGATCATCGACTCGCACGCAATCTGCGCCTACCTGGTGGAGAAGTACGGCCAGGAGCAGCAGCAGCTGTACCCCAAGGACCTGGTGCAGCGCGCCAACGTGGATGCCCGTCTCCACCTGGACTCTGGCCACCTCTTCGCCCGCCTGCGCTTCCTCTACGAGCCGATCTTGTACCACGGATCCACGGACTGCTCCATCGACAAGATCGCGTACATCCAGAAGTGCTGGGAGATCCTGGAGGGCTTCCTTAAGGATCAGCCGTATCTGTGTGGCAGCGACCTGACCATCGCCGACTTCTGTGCGGTGGCCACCGTGACCTCGGTGAACGAGACTGCTCCCATCGATGAGTTCAAGTTCCCGAAGGTGCAGGCCTGGCTGAAACGCCTCGCTGAGCTGCCCTACTACCAGGAGGTGAATGGCGAGGGAGCCGACGAGCTGAAGGCCATCTTCAAGGCCAAGCTCGCCGAGAACCGCGGCAAGTAGGCGGCGGATCACTCCCGATTTTTTTCTATATCCACACACACTCTATATGCATATCCAGTCTTGAATAAACGGCTTAGTTTGAAGTACGATTTCAGCAGTTACAGCGACTTTGATCGGTCTTTTATTACGTGGACTTAACTTACATGTAGCAACAATATACTTAGGAGGTAATGGAAACGGAAATCGCCTTGGGGACCGGTCCTTCGCTGGCGCTGGGCGAACCACACATACACGAACACTGGCGGGGATTATGTTCGACAACATAGAGTCGTCCAGGGTGGGGCGTGTATTTAACTGGTAACTGGAACCGAATGTACAAAATATATATCTACAGAAAGTACAAATATAAGCGCCTTCTAGCGGGGATCGGTCAGTCCCGCAGTCTCTCAGGGTCCGGAGTCGGGGGTCAATGAACGGGCACTTCACTTGCGACGCAGGCGTATAAAATATCTATGGGTAAACAGACTATCACGACCCAGGCTCATGCACACTCCCTCACACACGCATCTCTCATTCACACGCACTGGGCCCTATTGCATAGAGCGCATAGTCCGAAGGCTCTAGTCGCGGTAGTCGCGGCGCAGCAGGAATCTTTTGATGCTCTCCGGCAGCGGCAGCTCGGTGATCGTGTCCTCCGCGAAGTTCTCCAGGATCACGTTGCGGCAGGCGCTTTGCAGGGACAAGACTGCAAAAGAGAGATGACCAATTAGTATACAGAAGGTCATTCGGCGAATGATTCCACTTACTGCCCTCCAGCTGGATAATCCTTATCTGCTTGGTGGTGCCGTACACATCGATCACCACGAACAGGGGTGCTCTGTTGAGCGGAATGTCTCGCGAGACGGGGCCACGGTCCACCCCGTTGATGATGAAGTGCAGTTCGCCCTTGGAGGCGCTCTGCACCGTGGGCACGTAGATGATGCCGATGCGGGAACCCCTGTCCGTGAGCAGGATGTCCGAGTCGTTGCCGTTGCCCATGGACGGGCGCAGAAGTCTCTTTGGTAGCAGGCCGCGAGGCGTCCTCACGTGCGTGGCGTCGCCCAGGAGGTTTCCTGGCAGGGAGTGGCTATAGAGGATTAACTTCCTAATATTTGACTTGTACATACTGTGTGGCTCGTCGTCCGTCTCCGGCTCGATGATGTCGTTCGACTCCTTCATCTCGAACTTGGAGATCGGGTAGATCCAGCTGTTGCCCAAATTGGCCAGGTCGGGCAGAGCAAAGTGGGGCAGTCCCTCGCTGCTGGTGCGAATCACATGGGGCGCTAGTTCTGTGAGACCCAGGCGCATGTGGCCCGACCAGCCGCGCTCAATTTTCTCGATCTCCACGAGAAAGATGTCTCCGGGGGCCAGGGGGCGCTCCGAAAAGGTGAGGGCGTCGGCAAAACTGGCTCTCCGATAAGCAACGGTGGCGTCGTCGCCCAGCTGTATGTTCGAGCCGTGGTAGGGGTGGAAGCGGCTCAGCTGGCGCTTGCGACTGCTAAGCGACGTTGGCAAGCCCTCCCACAGCGCCGGTGACGCTTCCCGTTCCTGGTCCTGCTGCAGATCTCCTGGATCTTCCTGTTCGGCGGCTTGGACTGCTCGTGGATGCCCGGAGGGGGGAGCTGCCGCCGCCACCTGGTCGCGCTCCTCTGCGGCTTCCATGGCGCGCTTGGTGTTCGGTGATCCTTGATCCTGGCGAGCCCGGAGGTGGCTTATTTACTTTTTGCTGGATTTCAAGTGTGCCCGTATATTTTCAACACGACTACCAGGGCTGGAGACGAAAAGTGCCATTCACCACGAGCTGGCAAGTGACATAACACGGAACAGCTGTTCGATTCGGCCAGGAAACTTTGGAAATTACGAGGTGGGAAACTATATTTTCTGACTGAAAACCCTGTAAAAACTGATCCTGTTTCAGATGCGAGTACCCGGAGCACTGTACGCCGCCCGTGGCCGAGCGCCTCAGAACGAGAAGGACGTGCCATTCCAGGAGATCCTGCCGCTCCGGCTAAAGAACTCTGTGAGCGGGAAGGCGGATTCCGGCAACGATGTGGCCTGCCTGCAAGAGATGGGCGTGCTCTTCGCCTGCCTGAAGGACAACGAGTTCGTGGAGAAGTACTGCCACAAGGAGATCAGCCAGTTCCAGAACTGCTACAAGTGCTACATGGACCGCAAGTTCGAGGCCAAGAAGACGGTCAACCAGGGCATCGTCCAGCCGGGCACCAACCTCAACTACAAGCAGCTTAACAAGTACATGCGCCGCTTCCCCAATCCCGTCTAGCTTAGAGGCCTTAGATTCATTTAATAATACACTATTTACAAAGTACATCGATCCCTGTTCCCTGTTCAATAGACCACATCGGCGTCGCCCAGTCCGGCGGAGGATTGGCTTACGGGCGAGGGCTGGCTGAGCACAAAGTTGGACATGGCACGTAGGAACTGCGGATGGGAGTGCGAGTGCTGTGGCTCGTACAGGTCCGAAAGGAGCGGTGTCTTTTCGCGCACGCGACTCAGAAGATCGGTCATCTGCCTGGGCTTCGGAACGGCGGCCGTCGGCAAAGCCAGATTGATGTGCAGTGGGTAGCCGCCGTGCTCCCAGGTGTCGGCCAGGATCTGGAGACTGCGATTGGCCTCCAGGACGCGGGCCCGCTGGAAGTTGAGTCGCTCCTGCTGCAGTTCAGACCATTGATCCTGTGGGGAAAACGAGAAAGTGATAACTATTGAACGGAAACTGTAGAGGGAGCACTCACAAATCTGGTTCCCAAGCGGCCGAAATACTTGATCTGCTCCTGGACATTGAGCACCTGCTGCATATACCAGTCGCGCGCCTTTTCCACTCCATCAAGTCCAAAAAGGAGCAGTTCCCGCTGCTCTTCCAGCTGCTTCAGTCGCTTCAGCATGTTATAATCGATGCCGTGCTGCAGAGTGTGCCTCCGCGACTCCCGGCGCTTGCTGCTCGTCTTTTTGGGCACAGCGGGAAGAGCCAGGCTCCAGTCGGTCGCCGAGGCTGAGGTGGAGGAGGAGCCGCCATCCGCAGAGCCACGGTGCTCGAACTGTTCCCTCGATTGCGGTACCTTCGGCTTTCCAGCATCCGCCATCATGTTCAGCTGCCAGTTTTGGAGGGCATGTCTAATGTCGGCCTTTCCCAGGGCCGGAGATTTGGGCACCTGACGTGGCGGCTTGGGCGGCGGAGCAGGCGAACTGTAGTCCATTTCAGGAGCCAAGTTCACCTGGGAGCGAGGTCGCATCTTCAAGTCCTCCACGGCCTGCTGCTGATTGCGGAGCAGGCACAACTTCAGGCCAGCGCAGAAGCGCTCGAAGGAGAGCAGTCCGCTGCTGGGAGTGACTCGACGCAGTGAGTCCAGCACTCCGCGCGGCAGTCCCTTGGAGCCGTCGTCCTGCCAGCCCTTCTGGATGTCCGTGAAGCGGACGTATCCGCTCTGCTTGTCGTCCAGGATGTCGAAGAGCTTCTTCATAGACAGCACAAACTGTTTGGGCAGTGCATCCATATCCAGGGATTGGAACTGGGACTGCGTCTGTCCGTGGCTGCCTCCTCCATCGCCGATGCTGAGATTGAGCAGACTGGTGCTGGTGTTCTGCCGGAGCATCTTGGTCTGCGGGTGACGCAAAGTGGAAAGTGTGATGAGATTATGGATGGTCCCACGCTTGGTCCCAATGCATAACTGAATATTCATGGCAGCTTATTTGCATGGCTCAATCCAAATGGAATGTGTGTGAATTTCTTGTGAATCTCTTAAGATCTCGGGGCTCTTGGAAGAATCCAAACGAAAGACTCAGGCCACGAACTCGTTCACTTAATATTTCACTTGTATTTTGTTTATTAGCAGGTTCTGTTACTAGCAAATATTGACCTTAAAAATCGCCCCTTAATTGCTTGTCTAAATTAAACTCGACTTTTTTTTAGATTTAGAAATTAAAGATCAAGAACGTAGTTTTTATATATGTATCACATGATAATCTTCTAATTGCTTGACTATACTTAACCCAGAATATTTTTTGCACATAAGAAAAAGGCCACGAGAAGATGAAGAAAAAAAAGGTCTGCAGATTTCTTTCAAATGTCTCATAGTTATTTATAAAACAAATCCTTAATAGGAATTCTACTTCTTGTTCAATAAGAACCGCTGGGTCTTACAATTGTAATCCTTATGTCCCAGCTCGAGACTTTGTTTTTAAGCCCACTAAGACTGTTTGTTTTGTTTATAAACCAAGAGTCTGCCCTCCAATTTGCTGACTTACCCAAGCTATGCGGAAACGTTGGCTCCTGAAATCCAAATGCGATCCAGTTCTTCCGAGCGGCTCTTCTGGCAGCCTTTTGATTTTGAGGCCGTTCGTCAAGGCTTCTGCGCAAGCTCTGCACCTATTCTGTGTATGTAATGCAGCTTGGCTCTGCTTGGAGCCCAAACCCCAAACCCAACCAACTGGTTATATTGACTGCACACTAGAGTCGCGTTTTGGGGCCCGAGTCTCGCACGCATGCGCAACTTGCGCGACTGGTTTCTGTGGTTTTTCGGTGGATCTTTCAATACAAACGCAAGTGGGAGAGCGCCTAGGCTTAAAAAAGACTTCCAATGTCCCAGCGGTAGTACCAAATAGAGCGGCTCTCTCTCAAGATTTAGGTAGAAACGTATTTATTAGTAGAAATGCAATGCGCTTGGCTTAATCAGTCGAAAGAGGGAGCTAATCGCCTAGGTTAATAATGTATCTGGCATGAACTGCAAACTCTGCGTGATCCATTGGGACTCAGGGATCCCTCAGACGGATTACTAGAATGAGCCGTTCATCTCAAAGTTGTGTTCCTCTAAAAGCTAGAACTTAAACTTATGCTAATCGCTGGCCAATCCTGTCCAGACAGAGCTCACAAATCGGCCACCGACTTCCGGCGCACGTACTTGGCAAAGTAGTCCGGACGCCAGCACTTGCAGGAGCCGGGGATGAGGAACCAGTCGTAGTAGAGACGCACCTGGAAGCAGCCCAGTTCGTCGTGTCCATCGCAATGGGCGTCTGCAGGAGCCGCCGATGCAGATGCTCCGGAGGAGGTGCCATCGGAGGCGGTGGCCACTCCAGCCCGTTTCTGCAGGTACTGCTGGTAGGCCTGGAAGTCCTGCACCGAGGGCGTCTGAGTGGTGGTCGAACTGGTGGGCACTGTGTCCTCCGCATTCGGGTAGAAGATCTCCGCCACCAGCAGGCTCACCCAACGTGGTGAAGACAGACAACCTCCATCCAAGTAGTGACAGCGTGCCTGGATGCAGCGCGTCACCTCCACCGTCTGGGTGAAGTAGCCCTCGTAGGGAATCTGCACCACATACCGCCAGGCGCCCTGGTAGTTCTTGGCGAAGACCGGAGTGGCGTACTCCACCTTGGCGGGACAGGGAGTGGGTGGACCCTCGTACCGGATGGGACCCACTTCCTCGCGTCGCTCCGCTGTGGGCGTGGCAGGGGCAGCTGCACCGGTGTCACCCTGGATGGCTCTGTACAAGGTGCAGAATCTACGGGAGAAATGAAAATTGATAGAAGTTAAGTAATTGATTGATTGACGTCGTACCATTCATTTAATTTCTTAGACTAAGTATTAAAATATTAGAGCCATAATTATTATGACTTTTTTATATTATGGGTCTATAATACATTATTTAAATGTAAATCAAATAAAAGATATAATTATCATAGCCCCAATATTTCTAGGGTCATTGGCCCTGCCAGCTAGCACTATAAAAGGCATTATCTTTTAAACAATACTGACATCATACAACAAAACATTTGAAAATATATGTATACAACTTAATTCACCAGAATTTGAAATACATATAATTCCAGTTGTATGCCTTTTAATAGTTTCGCTTTATAAATATGTATAGGTTTGGTATGGAAAGTGAAATGGCAACCTCATTTTCTTTCTCTGCCTTTTAAATAGCTTTGTATTTAGAATTCTGTTTATGATGATTCATGGTTGTCAAGTGGTGACCTCTTTAATAACCAAAATGTGGCCTTTCCCTAAGTTTTTTTGTGCTTCCTTTAATGGAATTCGTCATAAGATATATTCTTCAGAGTCGTGGAAGTTCAAATCCATTATGCTAAAAAAACATTGTTTCGCCTAAGCTATGGCGTGAATAATGTTGAAACTAATTACCCCCATTTATAATATCAGGTTCCTTAGCTGTTAGTGCTTAAAGACCATTGCTTAAAGTAATAAACAACTTACACTCCACCGCCATCGCAGAACTTCCGTGGTTTCCTCTCCTCGGCGGCCCTTCGCTGCTGGGAATTCCTTTCCCTCTGCTGATGCTGCTCCTCCTCATCCAAAGCGGGATCAAAGTAGCTGTACTCGTTGGACTCCACGCCCTCAGGAAGACTGCGGCGCACTCGTGTGGAACCTCCTGACGGATAGGGCCGGTTGGTGTCGATGTTGTTGCTGTCCAGCTGCTCCACGGGCTCATCGCGGATGATCTGGGTGACCTTGGGCAGGGTGTCGTCGGCCTTGAGAACGGGCAAGGTCTTCGAGAGGAACTTCAGCGTTTGGTTGCGAATGAGTTCACTGAGGAGTGGTTTTTCAATTAGTGATATATATGATCCCTAGCTGAGTCTCTTTACTTACAAAGGATAGGGCTCCCCGAGCACATTCTGTCCCAGCGGGTTCTTGGGTATCTGACCCTTGTTCAGATCCCCGCAAATGTTGTGAACCGAGACGGCGGACTTCTTTCCAGCGGCCACGTCCTTGCACTCGGAATTCACAAAGGTGTAGGGTGGAGGCCTGACCTTGGGCGGCACCGCATTTGGGGACTCCACGAAGGCGTAGTAGCCCTCCGGGGGCTGCTCCTCACCATAGTCCGATGGCGATTGCACCTGCGGCTGGGCAAAACCCAAGTGGGCCAACAGCAGAAAGCTGAGAATTTTCTACAAAGGGCAGAAAACAAAAGACAGTGCAATCAAGGGGTAATGGATATATATGTCAGATGCCTGGAAGTTAATTTCCCCGAAGATTCAGTGAATGGACCGGCATTGTGCGGAGAAAGAGGCGAGATCTTTCAACCAGACAGTCAGACAAACAGACAGACTCTTTTTGGTGTTTTGTTGTTTGGCGAAAGCGCGAAAGTTTCTGTTACTGTGGAAGATAAACAAACTGAAACCGAGACGCGACTTTTGCATTGCTCTGCCATGCTCACTTGACCATTAATTGTTCGAGGGAACTTTCCCTGAAATTCTGGGTAGCCGTAGCCCCAACGAAACCAAAAGTTCCCCGGCCCGAGTGCCGCGTTAACCAGGTCAAGTGGAGATGCTTGGTGGGCGGATGCAGTGCCCAGAAGCTGTGGAATTTCTCTCTTTGCGACACGGTTCACAGCGCAATTTGAATGCGGCATCGAGGGGAAGCCGAAATTGGGTCAGTCACCGAATCTCCCAGCTTGTTCTTTTGTCTTTTTTCCCTTCTAATGGGCCAGAAACTCGTTTGCCCTGCGAGAGAGTTAACCAAATGGTGCTAGCCTTATTTGCATAGGTAAATATTGGTAGCCCAATTGCAGATTGGAGACCGCAGACGCGAGAACCAACCAAAAACAGGCCGTTCTGTTAGGTTCTTGGCCAGAAAAGAACTCGTTGGCGGTGTGTTCCAAATATGCGTGCCACACGACTAACGGGAAAGTTGCTCGGCACCCGGCCAAAAGCCAAAGACCGATCCGAGCCAGAAGAAGGGGCAGACCAGAACGGAGTGTGGAGCGGCTCCACAGTTAGCTTAATTCATTAGCATGCTCCAGAATCGGGTGGTTCCCAGCGACTGGGTAACAGTAAACGTGATCGCTTAGCTCGCCAATAATGTTAGCGCATTGCAAAACAAAAGACTTGGGCAACGAACTTGACTCGCCACGGAAGAAGTTAGCAGTTAGCACACCCGTAATGATGACATACCAGCACTAAACGATAATCCATCTCCGCTCGATCGCTTCTTGTATACGGTTCTTCCACTTGGCCTTCTTCGCAGGCTTAATTTGATCCGCAGTGGGGGAAAACAGAACCAGACGCGTCAAGTGCAGCAACTGAACTGAGTCTTTGGCCAAGTCGCTGCAGACGTTGAACCTCCGGCTGCTTTTAAGCCCGGTCAACTAGCAGAGCATGAGAAAGTGGAAAGAAAGAAAGCTCTACCTTGAATTTTGCATATTCCAAAAGAGAGCCAAGCTTGAAGTTTGCTTTCAAACTCAGGTGCATACTTTTAGGCTCAAAACGCTGTAGAATGATTGTGTCAATCTACATGGTTTCCTACTAAATTCAGAGTTAAGAGTCCGAGTTTTGCTTATATCCACAAATACGATCCCCATTTTATTGACTCTCCTTCAAATCGAATTTCATATCCAACAACTTCACGTTTATTTATGAATACAATGAACATTTTCTCTCCAGAAAACAATGTGGTAGAGTCCTTAAACATTTGTTATCAATATAATGTTTTGGTGTAATGCTTTCCTCTACATGTAGAATCCATTATTCATAAAGTAATATATATATATATATATGTTTGTATATAGATCCGCTTTATAATCGCCGTACAAAACGTAGCCCGACATCGAATCGAAAGAATCATATGCAGTTGTGCCAGAATTGTATGTGGGTGTGGAAAAGTTACAGGCAATAGATTAATATAGAATTCAAAGTAATCGTAATTAAAGAGAATACATGTTCTTAGAGCTAAAACTATGCGCATAGATTGTAGTCTGAAACTTGGTTTCGTGTACAAAAAGCTAAACTTAGGTATGCCAAGCACTTCATCGTTACATCAGGATCGATAGAGAACTATACAAGAGGGTAAACGGGTGAAATGGGGAACTAAATCAAATCAAATTGTACTTCATTGTTTGGCTAAATAAATATCGGTAATAGTTAGGTTAAAAAAAAACAATCAAATCAAATGTCAATTCGGTAAAATATACAGAAAACTAATCCTCGTCATTGTCTTCGAATCGCTATCGAATAAATAAACTAAGGCTTACGGATTCTATTCAAGTTTCGTCCAACTTTCAAACTTAATGCAATATTGCAACTATCGTATATATGAGTACGTATCTTAAAGTAAACAGAGTTGTATAACATCTTCATAATGCTTTTTGCTTATCGCTCGGTAGCTCCGGTTTAGAAATAGCATATAAAGTAAACTTTAGGCTTATGGCTATAGTGCGTTTGTGTATGCTCTTGTTTCGGTATCGTTTTCATTTTCGGTTTCCATTCTCCATTTCTGTTTGTGTCTATGCTCCGTGTGGATCACAATATCGCTACTAATTCTTGGGCGAGACAGTGATGAGTTTGTGTGGCGTCACAGGGGATATCTGTAATATAAGATTTGGGAATTTAGTACGAGTTCACTGAGTATTATGGGCTATTTTGACCTACCCATAGGGACCGGCCCATGTATGAATCGTCGTCATCTTCGATCAGTCCCGATGTATGATGGTGACCCTGCTGATCGATGAACAGTAGGGTGTCCTTGCTGCAAGTGTTTGCAGACTTGCGCAGCAGCGAAGAAAGGGTCTCCGTGTAATTTGAGCTGGTGGAGAACGAGTGGCGCAGGCTTAGACTGGCTGCAGCCGCCGCCTGCTGCTGTTGATGGTGCGACGCATTCTCCACCGCCGACACGCTGCTCCTGGATCCATGCCAATTGTGATGGTTTTGCAGCACCTGCCGGGATAGCTGCAAGCTGGACGAGAGCTGGGGTGTGTTCCCGTTCCCATTGAACAAAGCCGGAGTGGCACTCAAGTGGCCGTTGAACTTGCTCTGCAGAGTGGAAGCCGCGGTCACTGAAGTGCTCAGTGATCTCGGTGAGGAGCGTGACGAGAGCGAACTTTCAGAGGAGGAAGAGCTGGACGAAGCGTCGCTCACATGGCCGTTGGTCTTGGGTTCGGTCGCGGTTTCGTTTGCAAGTGGGGCCTCAGAGAGTTCCTCTTCCTTCTTAGCGGGCTCCTCATTCTTCTCCTGGCCAAGGTCGATGCAATCCTCATCCATGGCAAATATGGGCGTGGCTTCCTCTATAGCCAGCTTCTCGGGTTCAACGTTAGCGGCTGCAGTGGCCTCCGTCTTGCTGGTTTCACTTAAGCTGGTGTCCACATCGGCATCGGCGTAGGCAAGTTCTTCAATGTTCAGCTCGGCTACAACTCCAGCCTTTTCCTGAACATTATCTGTGGGTTCTTCGGTAACTAAAAGAATTGCATACAATGAGATTAAGAAATGTCCTACAATGTTGTTCATCCAATTTGGCTTACCTTCCGCCCTCTCCTGGCAAATCTTGGGTATGTCAACCGGCTTGGATTGAGCCTTCTCAGCCACCGCTGCTGCTGGAGTTTCGGGGATCTCACTGGGGGCCTCCAGCTTGACCGTCTCCTTTCCAGAAGTCGAGGAGGCGGAGGATGAAGAGGCTGGCGCAATGCGCGATACCCAGTGATCCCCGGAGTTCGAACTGGATCCGGAACACTCGCCGGCATCCACACTGCGTCGCTGGTAGAATAGCATGTAGGCCTCGTTATTGATGATGTCCTGCTCGATGTCGTCCTCGGGCACCTTGCTCACACGCTGATCGTCAAACTTGTACCACTGACGGTCGTACGGATTCTTGCAGGCGGCCGTATAGTGACCAGTCTCCAGAGTATCTCCCTGGTGATAGCACACGGCGTACAGGTCGTATCGCGTGTCCTTTGGATCGCAGCGCGAGTTGAGCGTGGAGGAGCGCGAATCGTTGGAGCGAGCCTTCTTCCAGGGATTCGAGCCCAGACCGAGTCCAAGTCCCAGTCCTGTTCCCATTCCCAGCGAGCTGCTGGCGCTCTCGTGTACACCGCGTGCCAAATGAGGCGACATGTCGAAGGCTGTCAGCGGAAACTTGACCATTGTGGTCAGCTTGGCCGCCTGTGGCCCCTTAGACTGGTGCTGTCGGAAGCGCTTGAAGTGCACCACCAGGATGTCCGGCAGCGACCACAGTCCCAGCGTCTTCACAACAGGAAGGTATTGCTGGCAGTGTGGACAGCGCCAGGCGTCCTCGGCACTTAGCGTCTCCGCCTTGGTGTAGTGCTCCAGGCACTGTTCCAGGGTCAGGGAGGCCGTGTCGGTCGGCTTGCTGGCACTCAGCCGCGCAACGCTCTCGTGCTCCACAACGGCGTCCTCCGTGTCCTGCTGCTTACTTATGAAGTGCGCCTCGGGCGAACTCCACTCCAGCAGGAGCTTAATGTGCTGCGGTCCTGCTTCGGAGGAGAGCACGGATAGCGCCATGTCGATCATCTCGGTGAGCAGCGGGTGCTCCACTTGCTCCAAGTAGGTATCCGGATCAGCGGAGGGGTCTTGAAGCCGTATCCGGAACATCTCGTTTAGGGGTGTGGCATATGAGAAGACCTCTGGCTTGAGCAGCGGCGCCATCTCGCGCAGCATGCGCTTCTGCAGATCCTGGAAGGAGCAGTCGCGCGGTGCCTTCATGCTGAAGGGGGCTCCGAAGCGGGAGATGTCCTTGCCATCCTTCGCCCGGTACACGTTGGCCACTAGGAGCAGCAGATCCGACTGCGCTTGAGCTGCAGCAGGAGCAGGAGCCACTGTTGTGGAAGCAGGCTTGTCCGCCGTCTCTGGCGGGGCAGCAGCCTTGGGAACAGGAGTCGCCTCCGGCACCTCGATGCAGTAGATGGTCTCAATGCTAGCCAGCGTCTCTACGGGCTGAGTGTCGTAGAAGACGCGCGAGAATCCCTCGGCGTTCAAGTCCACAAGCACCATGCGCGATCCCTCGATGCCCGTATCCGTTTGCAGCTGCTCGCGTAGGGCCACAATGGGCGATCCGGCTGGAACGCGGAGGCCCATGCGCACCTGGCGCGGCACCTGCTTCATGTAGACCACCGTGACGAAGATCGTCTGCTGGGTGAGCTGCGGCAGCTGCACGGAGATGCAGTGAAAGGGGTCGAAGGTGTTGGACTGCTTCTCGCAGCGCGGGCAGGTGAGCGAGGAGCGGAACTGGGCCTGGAACACGGCCTGGACGAAGCTGTTGTTGCACCGGATGTGGTTGGCCAGCGTCTCGGCGGCGATCACCTCGTCTGAGCGGCCGTACGAGTTCTGCGCGGGACAAGAAGGAGAAAGCGTTAGTCGCGTCGTCCCAGGAAGCGGTAGCCGCCTCGAGATTGAGATTGCGCCCACCTTGAGGCTCTTGTAGCGTCGCTTGCTGGCCGTGTTCAGGTCCTCGTGCACCTTGTCCAGCAGCCAGAAGAGGAACTCCTGGGCGTCGTGCTGCGTGGAGCTGCGGAACTGCGTTCCATAACGATCCACCACTGCCTTGAAGCTGGTGCTGTGGTCGCTCTCGTTCCGGCAGGTCCACAGCGCCTTCAGCACGTTGGCCAGCTGCTCGGTGAGCTCACCCTTGGTGCCGAACTTGCGCGAGTTGATCTTGTTGCGCCGCTTGAGGTCAGCCTGTGGGAAGGAAGATTTAGGATTAGATGGAGTTACCTAGATAGGTATAGATTATATTCACCTTATACTGATCCAGCACAAAGTACTCAGCCAGGATGTCCGTGTGGCTGAGGCACTGCAGCACGGCGTTCATGAAGCACGTGTTGCCATGGTTCTTCAGCCCCATTACGCCAGGAGTCTGGTCCGGCGGCCATTGATAGCCTCCAATGGGAGGCACTCGCTCCCCGCTGCCTGGTCCTCCTCCTCCTCCGCCACCTGCTGAAGATCCCGGTGCGGCTGACTGACCATGTTTGTTGGCCTGGGGAGGGAAAGGAAAAAACAGAGAACTGTGTTAGTCGCCGGGGAGTACAAATTGCTGGCTGGTCAAGAAACCCGTTTCCAGATCACACTGGAGTGCAGTGGAGTGGTTGGATTGGGGGGCAATTGGCGCTGGCCGATTGGGTTTCAATTTCGTTGCCAATTAAAAATTGTTTAGCGCTGCGCGCAGACATCAATTTGCGATAAATGAAGAAATATTTAGAAAACAAGGCGAAAAAAGAAAGGCCTGTCAGGCTAAAACGAATAAGTAAATACACTTTTATAAAACTAAATCAACACTTATGCAGATAAGTCAGAGGCATCCGCGAAATTGATGTACTGCTCTACAAATATTTAATGAACCAATTAGAAGTACATATTTAATCCAAGATAAGGTGATGGGCAAACCAAAGCGATCCATGACTGAGCTCAATCGTCTGGAAAATTTCGGTGTTAATCACCGAAGAAATCGAAATTGCTTTAATAGGATGTGGAGGTGTGTCTGGTGGCTGAATCTTTGGAACTGAAAAACTTTCCACAAACCGAAATGAAAACCAAGAACTGGGGAAATCTTAAGCAAACCGAAACAATAATAAAAGCTGATACAGTGGATCCTAAGTCTCTAGATGGATGATATCTAGCATTTAATTAGGTGTTCACTCGAGGCTGTTCCCACTGCAATCTCATTTTTTTCTGTGTGCAACTGGAGCAGCACCTCTCAGAGGCCGAATACAAATTTACGATATTATAAACAAGCTCTGGAAACGCAATGAAAACAAATGGAATGAGTTGTGCCTGAGGTTGAGGCTGAGGCTCTTCCAATGTGGCATTTTCGATGTGGCCGAGTGCCTTTAACGGTTTTGGTTGCGTTCAGCAATGAAATTAGCCGGATTATGAAATTGGCAGCGACTCTTGAGGGGCTGGGGATGGGTAGTGCACTTGGAGGTCAATGCTAAGTGGGTTTATTTCCCGATTTCTCGATTTCCCGGGCAAAGGCAAGAGGCCAGTGACGAAAGCAGACAGGCGGACAAACAAATGAGTAAGATGAGTAACGTCATCGTTGAACAAAAATATCAAACAAAAGCCAGCGAATAATGGACTCAATAGAGACAACCAAAAAGCGAGCCAAAAGAAGCGCAAATCGAACACAAAAACCCGTTTTCTGAAAGCGAAAACCCACGCAAACCAAAGAAATCGGCGGCCAATGGTAAATTGGCCAAAAGGAAATAAATCTCTGTGTGGGATGGGGTCTAGGTAGGTGTTTTCGGTGTAGGGCTGGCTGCCTGGTGGTGATCATGACATTAGCTATAGGCTCTAGCCCACTGATTAGATATGTTGGTACCTCTTTTCTGCGCCAGCATCCGGTGTAGAATGGCACGATTTCAATGAAGGCGATGCGATTCGCAGGCGAGTGATGCTCCTCCGACTGGAAGATGTGGCATTTCCGGGGGAGAAACGGGGAGATTGGTTAGTTGGGTTGACAGTTAGCACAGATATATTCCGCCACATCATGCTGCAGGAGAGTTCCCATTCCCATTCCCATTCCCCATTACCAAGTTCCCAAGACGACATTAGCCGGGATTTCGTTGTCTCATTCGCTTAAGCTCACTGACACCATTGGCCCCCCATCGTTGGCTTTGAATAATTGTTGCTTTTGTTGGCAAATTGACATTGAACTGACGTTGACTGCATCGAACAAATGCCATTTGTATTGTGTTCTGAAGGGACGGAGGGAATTGGTTGGATGGTTGGGGGAGTGACCACATTGAATGGCGGCCAAGTGGCTGCCCGAGTGCCCCGCCAGACAAAAGAAAGATGTTCGTTGCAAAGGGCACGAACCGGGGCCAACTTTAAGAGTCGGCACTCCTAGTTTAGACTTAGACTTTAAGACTTCACCCCGGTAAACCCCCGGCACTAAGCGGATTTTCTTAATAATTAGAGAGGCGCCGTGTGTTAAGCTGAAAAAAGGGTTCCGAATTTAAGCAGCTTAGCTCATTAGACAAACCCAATTAAAATGGCCGACAGTGATGTAAACCGAGCCAAAGCCATCGCTTAAAGCAAAGGGGTCCACAATTCAGCGGTTGAATAAATTGAGTGGAATGCCCAGATCTCTTCTATATATACATGTATATATCCTATCATTCTGTGTGCTCTTCTTTTTTGCTGACCTAATCGCGGTGGGCATTTCTCACGCAGCTGGAGACTTCGAGACATTGCTCATACGCCGCGTTCGCCCGGCTTCCATTTTTACATTTCAGGCATTTCTGGCTGGCTGTGCTGGTTAATTGAGCCAGAAAAGCGGAGGCATGCATAGAATAAAAGTAGCTGGCCACTGACCACTTGTCTCAATTTGCGCCGGCAATTTTATCATCATCATCGTCATTATTATTTATAAATTTAAGCAAATTTCTCTCGTTTTGTTTGCCAAGCAGTCGTCAAGTGGCCCCAAATGTTGTTCTTTATATATCAAGTGTCCTCCATTGTTTACATTCGCGTATTCCGCTTAACTTGATGTATCGAATTATTATGCCCGCGTCTCGAATTCTGGCTGGGTTTTTTCTTTATTTTCAAGCAGCAAAAATTCCATTCCCGTCCGCCGGAGCAATGTGTGTTTATGCGGCCAGAGCTCTTCTGATAAGGCAGTAAGAGGATCCAGAGACGCTACCCCGCCAGATAACTTATAAATATTGCACTGCACTCGAGTATTTGCCTTTACGTAAGCCACCATAAGATCAACAACAACACAAGTCGCTCCAGATGCAGATATTATATCTGTTGTGCAGTTACGTTTGCGTTTTTATTAAATAATTGTAAATAATTGAAGATAATTGCTGCTGATGTGGCTGCCACGAGGCTGTTATTACCCACGAGATCTTGGCCAGAGCATGAATGAAATTGGCTTTTGGGCTGGGCTATGTCACAGAGAGCGGAATCTCGGTAGGACCGAGAGCGATCGTGGTTCTCCTACCGGTTGGACGGCATTTTATTAATGGAACGCTCAGACGCGATCAGACTATTATTAGAGCCCTGTTGCCACCAAATATCTCCCCGCCTTATCGCCCAATCTACGAGTTTCAGCTGTGCTCCTAACGACGAACGATCACGTGACACCTGTGCGAATGTATAAATAATGTCTAATCATTGATTCAGGCACGCCGGGATTTACGAGCAGGTAAAACGTTAGCAGTGATTTCGGAACTTGTAGATAAGTTTTGAAATAGCGTTTGGCAAACATGACTTTATGGGTTTATTGTCGCCGCCAGACGTAATTGCTATCCCCAGTAAACCAATTAGATCCCCTAGATATCTCCATATATATGTATTATGCAAGTTGGTTGAGATTCTCGCACGCGGCTGGAACCACGCCCATTTCGGAAGGGGAGCGATTACGTGGAGGAGAACGCGAAGCTCTGTCAAGGTTGCGCCTTCATAAGGTGCTCTAATCAGGCCACCTTGCAAACACGCCGCTTATCAGATACGAGTGCTCGGCGGCCCCATATCTACATATACAGTACGAGGCATAAATATAATGCATTCTGGATCTTGGGGGTCTTCAATTTGGAATTTACCAACCAAAATAGCTAACCATATATCATTTATTCGATGAGCAAGTACTCAAGTCACTTGGGTTGATGGCCACTTCATAACCGACATTATTCAATGGCACTTATTCAGCTGTCTTAACCGCTTAGTGATTAAATCGAATTCGTAACTGAGCTATTTTAAAACTCAAGTGTTTCGATTAATCTAAAACGTATTGCTTATTGTATTATATCTGTAATTGGGGGTTTTTTGACTTGCTTTAGCACCCATTTCTTATAACACCGATCGCCACTGTCTGTTACGACAGCCCCTATGACTTCTGTCAACGCTAACTGATATCTGACGTTCGGTTTGGACCGAGACCGACTATTTTTGCCAGGCCCACGCGTATGTGGCTTTTTCGGGCAAGGGCAAATCGCTTGACAGCAGACGACCGGCGATAAATTTGCACTTTTCACTTGGACCTGCTGTCACATTCGTGTGGAATATAATACATAATGGAATATTACGGAGGGGAGGAGGCCCCCAAGTGCACAGTGTGGACTACTTGATGACGGTTTTTTGGGCTCTTTATGGGAGCTTACAGTCATATATCATGGTGGGGCCATCACCTGAGTGGTGCGTAATTACCACCGAATGACGTGGATAATTTCTAGCTGCCGTCTGGGAACTAAACAAACAGCGAAAAGTAACGGCCAATTAGACAGCCTAAGCACTGAAAACATACATAATTCTACCTTCCACAATTTATCCCCACCGTACAATGTACGGCGGCCTGCCCCATTGAAACCGAAATGTTAATTTTAAAATGATTGTTTATGAAAATAAACGTGCCGGTCCATGGAAGTACGAAAATAAATGCAAAGGCTAAAAATTCTGAAAACATTTTTTCAATTAGTTTGATCTCAATTGATTTTACCTTGAAAGCGAATTCACTCAGAACGGCAAAAAAAAAGAGAGAGAGAGGGAGAGGGAGAAAGGGGCTGAGCGGGACGGAAAACGTGCGGAGCAACCCCAACAACAACTGTATCACTAGGAATCGCACTACGAGCACAAACAACAAACAACTATAGACAATAATTCGCACAGTTGTACAACAGCAAAAGTTACGTGTGAGCCACCGGGCGGAAATACGAAATGCGGAATACAGAAACAAAGAGTACGACTACGCGAAAGGCCCCCAGAAACCGCCCGAAACCCCCCTTCATATGGAATATCCCCCGTTTGTGCACTTGAAATATCATAGAAAATCAGCAAACAGAGGCGGCGGCGAAAGGGGTCTGAAAAGGGGGTGGCCATGCTGGTTACGTACTAATCTCGCCATCAACAAGTGCACCAGCAACAACAACAACAATCTGAGACACGGTTTTGTGGGTGGCTAAAACTAAAGCTTACGGAAATAGACAAAACTGTTGCTGACACAGAGAGAAAAATGTGCATGATCATCATGTCAATACAACAGTTGGTGATTCATATCATTCGATAATGAGTATATAGATTCTTTAAAAGCATGGTTACAGAATAATAAAATGTGTGTTTGTTATAGAACTATTTATTTCTGATGCATAAGTTATTTTGGGATATATTTTTCATTGAGGTTTAGAGGATACTGTTTGAAAGTGCGATAGACCACAGAAAAATATACTCAATCATCATGCTAATAGATAGGTTTATGATTTATTTCTATCAATATGGAGCATTTATAATATTTAATGGCATTGTTAGTAAATAATAATATAGGACCAAAAACTACTAATGACTATAGAACTGTTTACTTCTGATCTATATGATAGGACCAAAAACCGCTAATGACTATAGAACTGATTATTTCTGATGTCTGAGTTATTTAAGGATCTCTTTTTTTGAGATTTACAGGACATATTTTTAAAATGCATATATGTTATCATCAAAAAATAATATATTATTAAAAAAGCTATAAAATGTTCTTACTTTTTGGTTAGTTTAGAATATTTTTCCTTGTGTATTTGCTTGCATGTGCGCATTCTAACTCACGTGTTGTTTTTGGCGGTGCTGTTGTTGCCTAGATCGTCACACAGAGTGTCACTTTTGACTTTTATACCATTCCTTGCAACCCCCTCCCCCTAACCAATCCCCCTTCCTCCCACCCCCCGCCACCCATTGGCATTTGCAATTTTTGGCATGCAATCTTTAATAAGCCATATTATTGCTGGTGTTGTAGCTGCCATTTTCACAGTTTTCCCAGTTTTCTCGCAGTTCTCGCAGTGCGATTTCGTTTTTCTTTTCGCATTTCGCTTTTCCGCTTTTTGCGCTGATGTTTTTGTTTTTCTGCAGCTATTCAAACTCAGCTTCTGAATAAAATCAATGCGAAATGCAAAATTTAAATGCGAAGTGCGGGAATTGGCGAGATACGATGCCAAGTGCCAGCGGCATGAATCATAAATCAAAGCAATTGTTTACAATGAGGTAAGCGCACAACAACTCACCAACAATGGTCAATTGCCACATAATGTCATTAAGAAAATACCCAGAAAACAACAGCAGTAATAAGTACTTGTTGCTCAGAGCTAACCGAATGTTTTGCCTTTTTTTCGTGGCTTTTGTTTGGTGAAAGGTGTCAGAAGACAAAAGGTAAATGGAAAAATATATATTCGTCTACAGCTGCAACGTGCCCCAAAGTCTGTACCCCAAAAACGGTACAGTTAAAGCTTGCAGCCTGGAAATCACTTGAGCTTTCCCCTGGCGGTAGTATAGTAACTAGTATAGTAGCTTCCTATCACATGCGGCTTAAATGGCACAAACTACTTGCATATAGATACTGCAGTTTTCATTGAGCTTTACGTGCTCCGAAAACCCCCCAATGAAACCCTCTTCCCAAACACCCACACTTTACTACTCATTGCCGCCTCGCTTTGAATGAAATTAAGTCTGTTTTCGTATGCGGTTATCGTTCTGGAATTCCGAGCGCTAAAAAGGTCGGCTGCACTACTGCCATAAGGTCTTGCCCTCTACAATTAATCAAAATTTTACGACAAACAACAATCATGGAGATACAGTATAGCCTCTATACATTGATCTTGATCATTAAAAAGAGTTAAGGAGTCTTACAGTCTCCCAATTATACTATTTGTTACAAACAAATTGGGCTTGTTATTTTAACTAGTTCTGTAATATGTATTCTTTATGATATCATAATAAACCAATTTGATTTTGGAATATATCTGATATGATAACTAAATAGAACGGTGTCATTTACATTTTTTAAGGGATTTTAAAGCCAAAACATAAGTGGCTTACAAGTTCTCTTAGTAAAAGGAAATGCTGTAGTATGCTTTGAAATATTTTTGATGCTGACATTTCCGAGTTACATATATGTCACTTATTGTATTACTTGAAGCGTCAAGTGCCGGAAAATTCGAGACACTGGAGCTGTACTGTTTATAAATTGATACGCACTCACTGGGCGCCCAATGTAAGTATTTATTATTAGATCAAATTCAATTCCAGCAGTTGCACGAGTGGCTCGAGGCTATCGCTTTCTGGAGGGGATGGGCCCAATGCTCCAAATGCTCCGGGGTGTGTCATTGCGCCCTGCACTTGTCTTCGGCTCCTCAGCTGTCGCTTTCCCCACTTTGTTGTGCTGTCTTCTCTGACAAAAGCGTGGCACACATTTGTCGACTTGTGCCTCCTTGTCGGGAGTTGTGTTTTCCCCCATCTCCGATCCCAAACTCCGGAGCTACCGATCCCCGGCTCACCCGTCAGTCCATCATTAACCGCTGTCTCGCTCCAGCAGCGCACGACCTGAAAAACTCTTGTTTTTTTGGGATCTCTGTGTGTGTTTGCTTGTTTGTTTATTATAACGCGAACGGAGCAACAAATGTTGGCAACATTTACACAAAAATTGTTTGAACAATTGCTGTCTGCGAAACAAAAGGCGCCCACCTACACCTAGTTACAGACCCCCCCCAATACCTCCACATCCACTCAAAAGCACAACAAAAATTATGATAATAATGAGACAGCAATTGTTTAAAAATAAAATTAATTTCCATGCGCCGTCCTCGCGTATGGTAATCGTAAATTGCCGCTGAAGAGCGTAGAACATTTGAGATATACTTCAAAAAAGCGGAATCCGATGTATTTATAGTTGTGTAAACAAAGGCTTTTTATCCGCCAGAATGGAATGTGTGAACAAAGACTGCGGCTGCCGTATAGATTACCATACCGAAACTCCCTGGAAGAGAAGAGGGCCAGCCAAAGTCCCAATAGGCCGCTTTTCGGACTGATATACTACAAAGTGTACAATTCCTTATCATCGGTCACGCAAAATGTGACTCAGCAGGGGGAGCAAAACAAAAAGGCTGTGAAGTTGGAACACTGGAACGTGGCAAAGGGCGATTTGCCCAGTGGGTGGTGACTCCACCTCTATGAGGCACAAAAGACCCAGATCCAGATGAAGATGCAGATGCAGATGTGCCATGTGTCCGGCGAAGACAAAGAGCAAAGAGCAGCCGCAGACACGAGCAAAACAAAGCAGCCGATAACGCTCTAAACGATGCCATTATATACGGCTCCTGATAAGGGGTACTATTCAGTATTATATGGGGTATACGAAATACGGAATGCAGTGAGGAACGGAGCTAGAAGATGCACTCTAAGCAGCGCGCAAACAAAGAAAATAAAGAGAGGTATACTAGAATATGTACTTGCCTATATAGGCTACGTTTATGCGCACTCATTAATTGCAAATAAACAGTTCGTGTTACATTTTCCTATTTACAAGTAATTTAGACACAATGGCTATTGCCTTGTTTAACTGAAGTACACACCCTGAAAAGTAATCTTTCTGATATAGGGGCCTTGAGATGGGTAAACACATTTCTGAAAGAGTTACAGACTGTTATTGTCAGAATATTGATGGTTATTTTCCTAAGCTTGTTATTATGTTTTCTAATTATTATTTCCTCATAAGCTGGAGTTGAATTGTGAATAACATTGGGAGGAGTACAGAATAATGACTGTAGATGTCTATATTCATTCAAGTTGCTAAACTGACCATAATGTATTTCATTAACACCTTTGATTCTTGATTGATTTAATCTATTAAGTTGTTTCCTATATTTTGTTGAGCAAAACTTTGACTCATAATTGGGATATTTTCATTAGTTGATAGTTACTAGAAAAACACCAAAAAATATTGCTCTATATAGTGATTGACGCATTTTATTCTGACTAAATTTTGAAAAAGGCATCTGAGTACTATATTTAATTAATCATTTTAGTGAACTTTCATTAATGAAATACGTATTTAAATTAAAATGATTCACTGCATCTCTTTATTATTTCGCTTTAATAAGCTTTTATATGCTAATTGTCAATCTTCAAAATTGGTTACCATAAAAGGCATTTTAAAATGATTGCTAATTAAGATGATTTCCCCATTACATGTTTATAGATGCCCTACTTAATTAAGCACTTAGTTGACGTATAAGCCTAGTAAGATACATATAGTCCTTGAATATTTGTGATCCTTTTTCCTTACAAATTAAAAAATAAATAGGATTATATGATTTTTTATATACTTTTATAGATCTGGACCTTTAAAGTGGTGAGAAATTCTTTATATATAGCTCATCTATAACAATTCTTTTCTATATCCTTCTAGATATCGAATCGACTTTAGGATCTACTGTTTTATGATTCAAGAGGTATCTAGATTTAGGGACTTACCACGACATTTACCGTTGAGCTGAGGTGCTGGGCGATCCGGTTGAGAAACTTCCTGAAGGACGAACGGCGTAGGGCACGTGTCCTCTTGTTGTTGTTGTTGCTGCTACTGTTGTTGTTGTTGTTGCTGCTACTGTTGTTGTTGTTGTTGCTTCCATTGCTGGCGGTGGTGTTGTTGTTGGCCATGTTGTTGTTGTTGGTGGTGGTGGTGGCAAGGGGGGCCTCGTAGCTGCTAAGCGAGACAATGCTGCCGCTCCTGCCACGCCCACCGCCCACGCAGGACGAGATGGCCGTGTGGCTGCCACGTCGCTCTCTTCCTGCTCCGCCTCCCCCTTCGTTATCCCTGCCGCTTCCGTTATCCTTTTCCGTAGTGCCCGAGGACGACGTAACGGCCGCTGCCGTTTTGAATTTACGCGACCAACGGAAGGGATTGCGTGGCATGGAGAAGGCGCGGCGAATCTTTTTGGCGGCATTCGTCGTGGTTGCTGTTGTTGTTGTAGTAGCTCCTGCTGCTGCTACCGTCGTATTTGTTGTTGCTGCTGCTGTTGTTGTTGTTGCTGTTGAGTGGGTGGTGGCGGCGTCGCCCTCGCTCTGCTCTCTTCGCTCCTTTGTTGTGCCCATGTTGGTCTCGCTCTCTCGCTCGCACACTCTCGAACACACAGATTTCGGTCACATATATTTTTATTTACGTATGAATTGCACGGGCGTAGGACGTACTGTACTACTTAACTTAACTAACTAACGCGAATTGACCTTTTAGCAGTGATTTCCGCGGCCTCGTTAATGCACTTTTTTCCGATTTTCGCTCCGCTGTTTTTTTCGCCTCTTTTTTTCTTGTGTGTCTGCCCCCGCCTCTCTTTCTGCACCGCTGTTTCTCTGCCCCTTCCACGGTTTCTTCTTGACTGCTGACCCACTCCGCGGATTTTGGTTCCGCCTTTCGTATGCAAATACTTTCACTTTTTCGGCGGCGGCGTTGCAGCAAAAGAGCTGATGGTCGCGCGATCGAAGTTTTTTTTATTTTGGGTCCGCGAATCAGAGTGACCGCGGAAGTATCAACAGAATTTACCGTCCGGCTCAGAGATAGATTTTCGTAGATATTCCTAGCGGTCACACTGAAAAGAAATACTAACAGGTCCCGTGGCGTATGCGCAATTTCTGACCTCTGCTACCGCGAGCGTTGCTGACACCGTTTCTACAACTTCAAAAATAAACAAATTTGGAAAAAATTTAAACCATGCGCTAAAAGAATTAATTTTTTTAATTTTAAAAGATACCATAAACAAGTATTCCAAATGGTCACGCTAAAAAAAAATTGCGAGTTGTATTTGCGGTCACCCTAAACATCGATAAGCGATATATGATCAGTGTATGCCTTGTAATCGATAAATTATTGACCGAAACAAGTAGGACCGCACAATAATCATTAAATTATACCGCCCGACAACATACTAGTTGCATTTTAAATATTAATTGTATACATTGATTGGTATGTGACATTCTCTTTCGATCTGGTTGTGCTTTATGACAGCCAAAGCACAGATTTCTTCGGCGAAAAACATGGGCTTAGGTTTTATTCAAAAATACCCCTGTTCTTCAGTCGCAGTTTAACCAAATTAGGGTGTACACTGTACAGATTAAAAACCGACAATTTTGAGCAGCTTTAAGTGTTTTTTTTTAATGAAAGTGCTTATCTTATAAGCTGGGAAGGACTATTTTCGTTTCCTTCCTTTCTCCATTTAAACACCCTTACCGATTTCGTAAGAGTTTATTAAGAGTAGATAAACAAAAGTATGTATTGTTATTGGCTTGGGTTTTGTGCGGGGAACTTAGGGCATTGGCTTTGGTTAGTGAGTTTCGGGAGTTGGCTTTGAATATAACAATTTTGGTGTAGCTATTTTGTGGAGTGTAACTCAATCTTAAATTCATTTTTAAAAATTTTTACCAAGAAACGGTTTAAAAAAATCGGATGCTATCGATAGTCGCTAACCAAAACGAGATAGTTGGCAACGCGGGCTGGCGCTAAAACTTAAAATTTTTAAACCAAGCAAGTAGTTTATTTTCGTCTCTACCATGGTGGCCAATTTACTGGCAATCAAATCCTAATAATTTAATAGCCCAGTTTCATGGGATTTTTTCTTCGAATTTTTATTACACCTGATTCCACTTTTGCAAAGTTTTAGTTCAAAGCAAGCGGTCCAGTCCATTGAAACGAAATCGGGTTAAAATGTACTGGAAATGTTTTAAAAGTTATTAATATAAAATATATTTTAACCTAGCACTGAGAGAACTCGCTGTCTGCAATAATTGTAAAACATAAATCGATAGATTCACAAAAATACTATGAACACCCTTATCGACAATCGATAATTACAGCAATGCGCGGCAAATTTAAGTCGTGCACTCCACAGGCAATCAACTTATATGAGCTATTTTGTCATTGCCAATCAACCATTTTTGGCCACCTAATTTATGCAAACAATGCTGATAAATTACTTGTGTACGCGTGCAACTTAAAGTGGAATTATGCCGTCAGGCCTGCAGGACACGCACACTGCGAGATTCGGCGGTCGCAAATGATATTCAAATATCCGGTTGATACTCGAGATTTACGCCGGAGACAAAGCCTTAGCCTCCGGCGGGACACACGCAAAACAGGACGACGTCGAGGACTAGGACGAGGACGGACGGACGGACGGCTCAGTTTCACTTTCATCACTTCAAACCCGATTAAGCACCTCATTTTATGTGTTATTTATCTACTGATTGGATGGCGATACGGGCCGAAGGAGAAGCCCTTGCCCTCCAGCCTGGGTGGCTGGTCTATTGCCTTTGTTATTTTCCACTCGGCGTGTTCCGTTCGCTTTCCTTGCCCTGGCGAGTTTTCCTTGCCCCGCCTCGCCCATTAAAAGACGACAAAAATACGCGTATAAATGCCACATAAAACAATACAAAGAATAATAGGCTACCATTTTTCACCACCACCCCCCCACCGACGACGACGGGCCACACCCACTTTTGCGAGTCTGTCAGGCAGCCACTCAGTCGGCGACACCTGTCAGGGCCCCACTTTCACCCACTTTCTCTCCCCGGGCGCGTATGTGCGTAGGCATAAAATAAATAAATAAAAAATTGACTACCAGACGAGGACCCACTGGGTGCCATGCCTTCTGTCCCTCTGTCCTTTTTTTTTCCTGGGCCAAGAAAATAATATTATGTCGACCCATTGAAACGAGCATGATGTAATTTTCTTTTCCGTTAAGTTTCATTTGGTCGATAAGGTTGAGTGAAAGTGGCTTCCCCACATGTTGACACACACATTTCCTTTATGATTTCGGGGCAGGTGCTGCATTGGCATTGGCATTGGCAATTTGCGAATTTGCAATTGTAAATTTGAACATTCCAATTCGACATTCGACACTGCCAAGTCTTAGCCGAATGACATAATTCCGGGGATTCAATTATATTGCCATATTACATAAGCCGATTACAACGATGATAACAAAGCATTAAACTCATTAGGAACACAGGGGCGTAAGAGAGGGGGGCCGGGGTGGGAGTGGCAGTGACATAGTGGGGAGGGGGGATGAGTTGGGATGGCAGCTGGCGGAGGCCATGCCCATTAAATGAACTTATCAATAAAAAAATGAAAGCAGCGGGAGAAGCACAAAAAACAGCGCACACCCCCAACAAAATTACAGGGAAGGCTCCTTAAGTGAGACAAATATTTAGCACTTTTTAGGGTGTAAACTCATAATGACTATAAGTTTTGATGATAAAAATGTATAAACCTTTAAATAATTTTACAAAATTTTATATAATTTTCCATTTGATATGAATATTCTCGATAATTTTAGAAACAAAATTGTTAAAAAAAATTGTTACTTAGTTGACCATGAGTTTTAATAATGTATATAAATTTTTCATAATAATGTATATAAATTTATATATTTTCCATATTATATGAATATTTAAGATACTTTATAAACATAATTGCTAATAAGATATGGCTACTTATTTGGAAATCGATTTTTAATCAATAAAAGTTTATTTCTTAAGCTGTAAGGAATTCTAAAAATAGGTTGTGGTAGAGCTCAACATCGTCTGAAAGAAAAGAAACAAACTTTTAAGCAATTATAACATTGATAATTCGACTAATTTGTAGAAAATTTCGAAAACATTAAAGGATTAACCTCTCTGGTCGTTTTGAAGCTCCCCCTTTGAACTGATAATTCGATTAATAGAGCAAGTCTAATCACTTTCACCTTAGCCAGGTTGCACTGTGGTAGGACAGCAAACAGTGAAAGGAAAAAGTCGAGAAAGACAATAAAGGCAAACAGAACATAAATTGAAGCAGGCCGCGCCAAATATCAACAAAAGCTTGCCCAGTGGGTGGCAAACACACCCGCAAACACCCAAATGCGCTAACCCAAGGAGAGAGAAAGAGAAGGGGAGACAAGGAAAAAATAGAGAGAGAGGGAGAGAGAGCGCGCAGAAAAAAGGCGATATCGCATATCAAGAAAAATCACAACCCAAGGAACAAAAAAAAAATAACCAAAATTAAATGTCCCCAGTGGACATCCAAAAAAAAGCAGAGAACAGCGAGGGGAGCTGGAATGAAAAATGATTGACTTTTATGGTGTAGCGCATATTCGGTCTTTAACATAATATTTGTCATAAAATTAAGGGCTGAAAGAGAGAGGCAAACATTGTCATAAAAAATTTGCTAAATGCCGGCACACAGGAAGAGCTTCCTTTTGGCCAAGGCACAAAAGTTCATGCAGTTCACAAATTGTGCACACACTGCCACACGCACACACACACACATATGCGCACATTTCCGGTTAAAATAATAATGCCCAGGAATGAGGGGGGGAAGGGGGGGGATAGCTACCAACAAAAGCAATAATTATGGCAAACGAGTTTGCCTCGTCTTACGCCTTTTGTCGCCCATTTTCCTGCTTTGACAGAAGCCTTAACCTACAAAGATGTGCGTTCCAACGACCCCCCCTGAGTCACCCAAGCCCGCCGCCCATGAACCCCCCCAACTCACTCACACAAACACAGAGAGACACCCAATGCCTTTGCTTTTGCTTTTGCTGTCATGTTCGAGCAACAAAGCAATCGAAGCCGCCCCTCAGCCCCCCAAAAGAAGCCGACTATTGTTGGCCAGCTACCAAGGAAAAGCTCCCAACCACCCCAAACCCAACCCAACCACCCCCTTTGTCTGTCTCCCTTTCGTTTTCAGTGTGTTTGTGTGCAGGAAATTTCGTTTTATGCGCGAGACAAATCGCACCTTATTATGTGAGGATGCGCATGTGTGTGTGTCCGTGTGAGTGGGTGGCAATAAGGGGCTTGTGCAGACACTTGTATGTGTATGTGTGTAGGTGTGTGTGTGTGCGTTTCGACTTTGCGACGAGCCATTATCCACACTCATGCACCCACGCTCTATCTATGGCTTTATCACCCAACAACAACGCTCCAAACACCCGCTCACCCATAGGAATTTACATTTACGTGCTGCATATGTGTACCGATTGCGAGAGTGTGGGTGTCGGGGGGTTCCAGGGGGCTAGAGGACCCCCAAAACGGTTGGCCAGCGGATGCGCTACTCCGCCTCTTTCATTTTATCACAGTTCATGGCAGTCAAAGTGAAAAAAAAACTAAAAGTTCTCCAATATTTAAATTTAAGATTTTACCAATGATAGTTAATGGTTTTTTTGCTCAATTCTCAAAGTCATCAGGGAATTGAAAGCACTTAAGAATGCAGAATCCGAAGAAAGTGGATTGAGAAACGTATAATTAATAGCTATAAAAAACTGTGAGATAATAATATTATCTTATCAGAGAGGACTTGCCTTGAAATATTAGTCGGTTCATTATAATAGATCATATTTTAGATCCTAATAAAAGATTATAATTTTGGGGAATTATTTAAGTATATAAGAATGTAGGTAATAAGTTATAGAGAACTCGGCTTATAGTACTAGTTAGTTCACAATAATAGATAGTATTTTACATCCAATACAATACAGTACTGTAATTTTTGGGTATTCT